TATACGACGCCCCCGCACCCCCCCGAGCCCCCGCTCGGCGCTTGGGCGAGGACATGGCATCGTGCACCAGAGCCAGTGTGTCGGTGGCGGCGGGCCGGCCACCCAACGGCCTGCCACGCTTTCCGCGCCGGGAGGGCGCCTGGGCCATGGCAGCAATGGCCCGCGCGCGCGGGCCCTCCGGCGGCGCGCCTTGGCGCGGCTCGGGCGTGAGCTTGGCGGGGTGGCACTCCGGCCCCTGGCCCGTCGGCGAGGGGCCGGGCTGCCCGGGCGGCAGGGGCTCCGGCGCGTCGGGGTGCCTCCCGGCCACGGACCCCGACCCCGCCAGGCTGCCAAAGGCGGCCCGCCACCTCAGCATCTCGACCTGCAGCGCCGCGCACTGCCGCTGGAGCGGGGCCAGGGCATCCGACTCGGGCGCAGGCGGGCCATCGCCGTCCCGGGCTGCAGCCGTCAGGGAACGCAGCCCCTCCACCTGGCGCGCCAGGTCGGCCAGCTGGCGCTGCACGGCCTCGCGCTCCGCGCGCTGCGCGCTCACCAGGTCGTCCAGGCGCCGCCCCAGCGCCTGGATCTGAGCCTGCGCCGCCGACCGCTCCGCCGTCAGCGCCTGCTCCGCCAGCGCACGCGCCTCCTGCTCGCTGGACACCAATGCCTTCAGGGCGCCGTGCTGCTGCACCAGCTCCACGGTGTTGAGGGCCCGCTCCTTGAGGAGGGCCTGGGGGGGGGGGAGGTGGGGAGGAAGGACGAGGGCGGGTGAGCAGAGGGCATCGGGTGCAAGCAGCAGGCAGAAGTCTACACCAAGCATGGACATCATCATGTAGCACATGCCCGGACACGCTCCCGCGGTGCAGAGAGCCTCTGCCTCGCACTCACGAGGCTGTCCCGCAGCTTCTGCCTGTTCCGCTCGCTCTTGGCGAGCTTGGCCTGCAGGGCCTCGACCTCTGTGGATGTCATGTGCTCAGGAGCATCCCTGGGAATTCATTGGGGTGCCGAGGTTCACATGGTGCCAGGTCGCGGATTGTCAGAGGCCGACAGCGCTGTGGTGCACCCGGCAGCAGTGCCCCCAAGCACCGGGCACTTGGGCCTGCTGTCGTGCCATTTGGCCTCAGAGGTAAAACATCTTTGACTGCTCAGATCAAATGTTCTATGCTTGAGTGTGTCCTCAGCGCCTTGGCCTGCCCGATCGCTGTTCGCACGAGGAGTTGATCGTTCTCCATCGCGCGCTCGCGCAATGGAGAACGCTCTGGGGATCCTTGCCCCTCCCTCACCCCACCCCCCACTCCTGTAAAACACGTTACGTTTGCAGCAAATGTGCATGGTATGCCAAAGGTGGATGCTTTCCAGTTCGAGACAGTGACGATGGATGAGGGGGGTCAGCGAGGGGATGGGCCAGTCACAAGGGAGCGAGGGGGCCCACTCGGGGCCCCATCCACGAGAGTTTGGGGCGCAAAGGGGTTTTGGTACAGGGGGGGAGTCTGCTCCCTTCTACAGGCTGGAGCGCGGCGGCACGACCCTGGGCCTGCCGGCGTCGGCCCCTCCCTTCCGGCTGGGGAACACTGCGGGGGAGGGCTCGTTCCCCGTCACCAGGGTCAGCTCCACCGTCGTCTCCACCAGGTCCGACTGCACATGGAGTGTGAGTTTGATTTGGGGGAGGTTGGGGGAGCCAGTGCATACTTGGATTCCCGCGGTGCAGCCTGCAGCCACAGGACACCCCTGGCAGGGCCTCGCGTGTGCCAGGGGCGCTTGGCTGCCGCGTCCCCAGACCCCACAGCCCTCTTCGTGCCGCGCGATTCCCCACTCCATCCCTCCCCACCTCCACACAACACACCCACCCACCTGGAGGTTCAAAGCCAGCACCGGGCCGGTGCCAGCCACACAAGCGCGCGCGGCGGCCAGCAACGCCGCGATGTCTGCCGTAGACTGCAGCGTGATGGCTGCCACCAGCTCCCCGTCCTCCCCTCCCGTGCCGATCGCGGCGGGCTTGGACAGGATGGCCAGGGGCAGCGCATCCGCGGCGGCGGGGGCCGGGGACGAGGCCGCCTCCACCCCGGGCGCGCCGGGGTCGCGGGGCAGGCCCACCACCGCGG